AAAAAATTCAAAGTCTGAATACACATAATTTGGACCTACATGGTGAAATTACCTCAGATCAAAGGATAGATCTTCAGGAATCTTGCCAAGATCTCAGCAAGCTAAAGATCTTAGTTTACATCATGTCAAAAAGATAGTTACATGTACATGTACAGTGTGTGTATGCATATACCTTATCTAATTAGTAAGGATCTTTCAATATTTTTATTGTAGGTCTTTGAAGAAATCTCAATTTTCACCCACGTTCCAAGTGACCAGGACTTGAAGATCTAATGCTTATGCCCAACAGAACTGGTACAGTGTACTAGTCTGTATTTTGTCAAATTTTAGTACGTCACATAAGAATCAATTTTGAAAATGCTGACTCACTGACAAGTGGAGTAGACACTAAAGGAACATCAGGATGATCAGGTCGAGCAACCTTCACACTGTTGAAAGAAATAAAATGGTTAATTGGCAACCACTGAGAAATGTCACACTGTACGTATACATATACCGCCATTACTGATTACTGGTAAACACTATTATGTCACCCTTACAATAATTTAAAATTAAAATCTTACATCATCAAAAACACAACTGAGGCACCAATAACAAGAAACGGCTGTGAAAGTACAAATGTACTGACTGGCAAAAGTCGGTCCAATATTTCAAAGTCTCTCAAAGGATCACAACCTTGTTGTAGTTTGGGGGGGGGGGGGGGGTCTCATAGACCCTCAGAACTGTGCAGGTGGGAGAGTAGTCTCCTAGTCATGCCACCCAAACCAGACAGGTTAAAGAGTAGAGGCCAAAGGAAGAGTGATCCACTGGTCCTCCAGACTGGGGGTTGGGCACAGGGCCAACAACCCAGTGCCATAAAAAGGTCCTTGTTATGGAAATAGTGCTATCCTGCATCCCAGCAGGCATAAGGGCAGTGCGTAAGTGGACATGTTTACAAGTAAATGTTAAATACGTATTTGTTGCAAGTGGACTATGCGACAATTAAAGTGACTTAATTAAAACATAGCCAGAGCAGCCATAGGGTAAATTCCACTAGATTTTTTGCCACTGAAAATGATCCTGGCCCTGAGAAGACCCAACCTTTGCTTCCCTCTTCAGGTGGAAAACCACCCTGTTCAGAAAAGCTTGCCGTAATCATTAGAAACATCAAGTTAATAGACAGCATTACAGTGAGTTCAAAGGAAACTTTATTGCCACCTTTAATTTGCTAGGGTTGAAATCATTCCTTGTCACTATTAAGTGATAAAAATAATGACACTGACAAAGTGAGCGTGGGTGGCCTGTGATTTTAATTCTCTTATAACAATTAACCACATGTACAGTACATGTCTGAATTTTAGTACCTCTTTCCCAGTGGCTGGCTCTGTTCTGCAGATTTTTTAAGCCGCGTCTTGCGCACCATAACAGTTGTTGATGGTTTAGGGACAGGTGGTCTCTTGGGAGGATGTACCTAGTTATAAAAAAAATAACTTTTGTAACAAACAAGTAACACAATTGACATTTTGAGCTTCCAATTAATTAAAGAAATATTTTCATACTGTCTAGAAACATACAATGTATTAGCCTGCAAATTCGGATGGATTTCCAGCTTTTGTTTTGGTGGGTGTGTTTCAACTAGGCTAGAAATACAATATATATAATTTGTATTTAAAATAAATGTTTAAATAATGTAAAGTACATGTACATGTAACATGTAATAAAAGATATAATTCATAAATTATTTTGAGGTTTTCTACTTATGGTGTACAAGTAAATACAACGTCATTTTAAAATCTTGTACACATGTTACATGTATGTTACAAATAGCCTTCACAGCATGTACACTCACCTTTTTGAGCTCATCCACATTGATTGCAAGAGAATCAATATCATCACCAGTGATAACTTTCCCAACTGACGGTCCTGTACACAATTCATCTGGGATGTGCACAGCAGAACCAACTGGCGAACTCATCTTATCAGGGGTACCACCATCCCTCTTTTTAGATTTTGCACTCTTATCTAGAACATACAATGTACAGGTGCACACAGACACATTAAAACACAAAGCAACTGGCAAGGAAAAGCTACAAAAATTGCCAATGTGTATAGTAATGACACATATGTTCAAAGTTTTGTAGCAGGTGTAAAATGCAGACTGCAGACTGTAGACTTTTTATCCGAATTGTGTTACCATTTCCATCATTGAGAGCTAACCATAAACAGGCTAACTGTAGCATTAACTCAGGCTAACCTGAGTGATATCCAGGCTAAACAAAGTGCAAAGGTTCCCTACAATTAGCCTGAATAGCCCTGTTTATGGTTAGCACTCAATAACGCAAATAACACAATATACACAAACATGGAGTTGTACATGTATATCTGTAGTCTGCAATCTGCAGTTTACAACCAGTCTACACATTTTAGCACCAGTCTGCAGTCCACAGTCCACATTTTATACTGACCAATTTAGAGAGGCATTTTGTCTTGTTATTGAAATATGCAGTAGATGTCGTTTCACAGGAATTTAGGTATTGACAGACAGAGGTAAATTCTTAACCAATAAATGCACATGTTTCTTAGTCTGAGAGAAAAGGTAGGGGCCAAACTGATAGTTAATTTAGTAAGGTAAAGACCTGCTACCTTACATTATACTTCAATTGCTTCTGTAGCAAGGAAAAAGCTTGCTAGGAATAATGCTACTCCCCCTGGATGGGATATTGAACCTCACAGGTTACTTGCCAGCATTCCTCAAAAAAATTCAAGCACATAGGTACATGTACCCTGATTCCTGTGAATTCCTGGGTAGAAAGAAGCACTTTGCCTTATCTAAGATTTACACAGCACAGCGACCTTGATTGATCACGAGTCCAACACCACACTTCACTCAAACATGTCTTGAAAAGCACGTGACTGGAAAACGTTTTGCTCTCCACTGATGCAGGTATCACTTTTGTTTTTTGTTTTTTGTTTGTTTGCTTTTTTTTTGTTTTTTGTTTAATTGGGGGCTAACTGAAAAGAATCCTGGCAAGCGTTAAATACCTGGCGTGCCCAATCGATGAAAACCAATAATCAATATAATCGATATCAATCAATATAATCGATATTAATTAATCGATTAATATCGGAAATCGATGAAAATCCATTATCAAGAAAATTGTGAGTATCGATTTCCATCGATTTCCATTGGTTTTCATTGATTGTCATCGATTTTATCGATTTTCATCGATATTATCGATTTTTCTTGTTTCATTTTAATTTCAGCGAAAAACATAATGGACAAGAGATTAGCTTTGTTCTCCAAGAAAAATATTTCACCTGCTGTTACAGTAAACCCACACTCATGGTACCCTTTCACAACACCCTCTATCAATATCACATCCAAACTCGACCGGACACGCACACTGCATATGCAGCAAGTCCCGGGAACAAGTCTGAAAATTGAATGTATCCTCTTTCAAGAGTTATGATTAAGATCGTTGACAACCGATGACAATCGATATAATCCATGGCAATTACTAGGACTAGGATTGTGAGCATTGATTTTCATCATTTAATTGAGGCAATCGATAATAATCGATTAATTATTATCGATTATATTGATTATATCGATTGCCTTCCGATGATCGATTTTCATCGATTGGGCACGCCGGGTTAAATATCACTACATGCAAAAACATGTCAATGTCAGCTGTTTTCTCATGTAAAACTGATCGTTGAGCGCCGATGGTTGTTCACATCAACAAGTCTGATAGCAGAGCTTACGTCTTACTCGAAATAAAGGATTGTTACTGAACATGAAGCGTTGGGTAAAACAAAATTACTTCCAAAAAGGACCGAATCTTAAGCTTACGGAGCCACTACTCATTATGCAATGCAGGACCATTATTGAATTGATCGAAGAAGTAAACTAAACTAATTTGGTTCGTTTCGAGCCTCGCAGCCGGTTAGTCTGGTAGATATGTCTAAACGTGACCCTAATTTTTGTAGTTTAGTCAAAATTCTATCATAGAGAAAAACAGAGATAGTATTTTTCAAGCTATAAGTTATCTGGATAATCGACCTTCCCGCGCCAACAATAAAAATTATTTGAAATTTACCTGTGGACCTTGGGCGATCCTTCTTGGATGGCTTGCTGGAAAGCTTGTTGCTCATGCTTTATGTTGCACTGGTAGAGCTACTTTCAAAGAAGAGACAGGAAAAGTGGACAAAAACAGACAAACTACGATGCTAAATTTTCGTAGCAACAGCCGCCATGTTGACAACAAATCGTGACTACGTTGCCTAAGTGGGAGGAGTAAGGTGAAATTTTGTCAACTTGGAACCGAGTCGAATTCCCGGGCTCCATATATGTCACGCAACGGAATGCGTGACGAACCATTTTTCACTCATTATTCCATCTTAGGGAAAATCCCAGGATATTGAAGACAGTGATTTCAAGCCCAGTAGAATATGATTTTAAGAAAATAATTCAGCAGCACAGCGAGTTCTGCATCATATGCCCCTATGACTTGTTTGAACGGAAACCCAATGGCGGAGAGTCAATCAAATAATAATTAATCAATCAGTCTATCTACTTACAGTGGAGCCTCTATTCAGGAGACACCCTCAACTTCGTCCCCAGCGTCTTCTCCAATTTTTTTTTTTTTTTAAACATCGCCGAAGAAAGGCCCAACCTCGTTTCCAGGCTCTCTCTCCTCTGCCTCCCTTACTATAGGGAACGAGGTTGAGGAGGGTCCTGGGAACGCCCAAGGTTGGGGACACCCTCAGGACCAGTAGCAGTGTCCCCGAATAGTGAGGTCGGGTCGGGGGTGTGAATAATTAACCAACTAAAAAAAAAGTACCACTTCTATTTTGATTTGGAATTTACTGTAGTCATTATGGGAATCAGAAAATATACGTGAATTTACACATGGTGCAATTCATTAACAGAGCGGAGGACAGCCACCATTACCATAAAATATGTTTATATACAGGCAGAAGAGGTAGTTAAGAGTGGAAATTCAATGTGAATATGTTTTCAATGGTGACAGAAATACTTTAGTAAAATCATTCACCAGGTTATATCGTTAACTGATGAACAGTAGAAAAGAACATGCTTTGAAAGCTGTCATCACGTGTGATTAGCTCACTAATCTTATTCACCCTCTTTGGTGGTTAATCAGGTTAACTTGATTATTTCAGCTGAAATTCGGTTGTTAAAGTTGTTACAGATTCCCAGATAGCTAAGGCGATCAGAAGGCACATAAATACACTGGTAATGCATGAGATTTTCTCCTAGTTCAACATATGGAAACGAGGTTGCGTTATACCATCGGCCACGTACCGTTCAAGATTTTTTAACGGAAGGTGGCTAACCTTTCTCCAGGGCATATACCTCCGTGCCACTATTTGACATGATAATGAAACTGACAGTTACTCAATGTTTATACAGCCTCAAAAAGCCAGAAATAGTAAAAATCTAAGGCAGCTCTCTGAGAATCCTCGTTTTAGCACACGTCTAAATAGTTATTTACCCCGCGTCTACAAAGATCCCTAAATAGTTTTTACCAGCCGACAGCCGACAGCCGACAGCCTAGCAACGCTCTGCAGGCTCATTCGAACCCTTCCTTCGCGAATTAGCTTGTGAACGTCGCTTGTTTCGAAACTTCAATCACCAGCTGCAGAGTTACGAGAACAAACCTGTCCACACTTGTGACTGAAGTTCCAAATGATGCCATAACCTCACCCAAGAAAGAAACGAAAAGCAATCCAATGTATCGTATTTTCATGTTTTGGTTCGTGGAGAGGAGTCTCATGCTCTAAGAAAAACGTAACTCGCACGTGGAAACACCCATGTGCAGTTTGCTCCAAACCAATTCGTGCGAACTAGAGAGGAATGATGATAGCACACGTCTAAAATGACATCAAATGACATCACACCAAGTGCATTGGCAAGGCCAACAGTATCTATACGGTAGCCTGTGAACAAGCTCTCTAGTCGAGGATGGGGCGAAGAGATCTGGAGAGCGGAAGCCGGAAAGAGGAGAGAAGAGAGATAGTCCATGGGCCAAGACCCCCAAAAGTGGTTTTTTTGTACCATGTGGAGGGACCAGTGCTATCACGTATTTTCTCAATCTGCAATAACTGAAGTCTATTTTAAGGTATGATAGCACGCTTCTATCAGTAGCTTTCTTGCTCTAAACATGTGATAAAATGACGTCATCTAAACTGCCTAATGACCACNGTTTACAGAAAACAACTTAACATAACATAAGATGGTTTACAATGATACAGAAAAAAAAAATACAAATAAAAGTTAACTAGAAGAAACAATATTTAATTGTGTACAGTGACCAAAGTAGCCAATGAGCTTTCGAGTTGGCACTGGCCGCATGTTAAGAATAATTTAAATTAATGTTTACATTAAAGACGATATTATTATCCTAAGAGAAGAAAGACATACATAAATGCAAGTTAGAATAAAAGGAAAACAATGTCCTGCATATTGTAAAGCATTATCTTATATAGCTAACAGTTAAACTATGGTCAATTTTGAGTGGTCGATAGGAATCTTTTATACCGCTTTTTGAAGAGCATGTATGGAAAACGTTTAAGTTCTGGTGGGACAGATTCCTAGATTTTTATTGCGGACAATTTAAATGTAGATATACCATAATTAGTGCGTATTGATGGCTTAAAGAAGTTTTGATTTGCTCCATACCTGGTATTATATGAGTGAATCTCCTCACTACTTTTATTCTTGTGATTGTACTTATGTCGCAGTAAAACGGCCAGGATCTAGCGTTCCACAATTTGTGAAGCATAGGCTGTGCTTGTTTTTTGCTAGTTTTCTAAAATCATGTTAATAATCTGCATCTGATAACACAAGTATTCCAAACTCGACATGTGGCCTTTGTAGTCCATGGGCCAAGACCCCCAAAAGTGTTTTTTTTGTACCATGTGGAGGGACCAGTGCTATCACGTATTTTCTCAATCTGCAATAACTGAAGTCTATTTTAAGGTATGATAGCAAGCTTCTATCAGTAGCTTTCTTGCTCTAAACATGTGATAAAATGACGTCATCTAAACTGCCTAATGACCACGCATCCGGTTAACAGCTTCAGATTCTGAGCGATGTCCATTGTACAATTCTCTTCAAACAACATTTTATACATTTTAGGCCTAGCAGAATATGACATTGATT